GCTGAAGGGGAGTTTGTTTCATTTAGTGCTTGCTCCCCAAGGCCCGGGGAAGGCACGGGCCCGTTCGTGGCAGGCAGAGGTCTTTGACCCTTCCCCAGCAAGGCAGCCCGCACAGCAGAGCGTGCACTGCAGGAAGAGAAGCTTGCCTAAGGCTTAGCCAATTTGTTTTTTATATACCAAGTGTCCTGGGCTGTCTCCAACCACCTACGTCTTTTCCCTGGTAGCAGAAAAGTCCCCGTGACCTGTTCTAGTATATTTTTGCCCCTCGGGGAATCATAAACTCCTGTTTTGGAGGTGTGTCTGGGGCTGGCGCATTGGCCCTGCTCAATCCCAGCTCCAGTGCGCTTTTTGTCTGTCACAATTTTCTGTTCTGTGCACAAAACAGTTTGTGCCTGGACTTGGTCTCTTTCCAAGAACTACTAGACTCATAACTACAAAGAACACAATCTATTGGCATAGCTAGGCTTTTAAAATTTGATTGTCATACAAATGTGAACTTTAATACCGTTCTTAATTTGAGATATCATAGTGATGTGTACTGTGTTGATAGTTATGTAAGATGTGCTTATAAATGTTCTCAGTTCTGGCTGTATGTTAAAGCAAAAGCATTGATTTTGTAAACTATCTGCAGTGCATAAAATACACTCGAATATTATTTCTTCAGTGTCGTAAATCAGTGTTATTTATGGTTTTATTAAAATAAGACAAATAGCTACTTCGATTTATCTGTGAATGACTTTTTTTGGTATGAAATTTTAACAGAATTACCAACACATAAAGCACTTTTCGGGGAGCTGGATTTTGGATAACATTTTATTTTGCATAACAATTCAAAGTAAGGTGTCCCAAATATTTTTAGCAATCATCGCCTTGGTATGTTTTGTTCTTAATTGCTTGTTTTGTTTCTGACAGTTGAGAGTATTGATTTTGTACTTAATACCAAAGAAACCCTTCAATAAGAAGCTAGCCATGTAAGTGTTATTTTTTGGCATATATATCAAATGATTAAAAATAAGCTGATTGTAATGTTATATAGGCTTTATACCAGCATGACTCCAGGCATTTACCAAATGGAGGCATGTAAGCAGCTTTGACTTAGCGCACAGGCTACTGATTTTTCACTCCAATATCAGTGGATTTCTTTTCCTGTACTTTAAGGGTAGTTGAGTAAAAGGCATAAGCATAATTTATAACTTGATGTTACTTAAGTATTTCACGAAGATTTTTGTATGTTCTTCCTGTTCTAAATCTAGTTTCAAGTACACCATACCACTGGATTGTATGGCTGTAGGGCTTTTAAATATCAGGACTCAAGTCTGCATTTTGTGTTCCATTTTATATAAGGTTCTGTTCCACAGGTCATGTTTCCGAATATGGTGTGGGAGTTTAATTACTGAGC